TTTAGCCATTCTGCCAGGTATGAGGTGATCTCTCATTATAGTTTTGATTTGTATTTCCCTAATGAATGATGTTGAGCATCTTTTCACGTGTCTGTTGGCCATCTGGTTGCCTTCTTTGGAGAAATGTTTGTTCGTGTCTTCTGCCCAGTTAAATCAGATTATTTGCTTTTTGGGTTTTGAGCTGTGTAAATTCTTTATATATATTTTGGATACTGACCCTTTATCAGGTATGCCATTTGTAAATATCTTCTCCCAATCCATAGATTGAGTTTTGTTGACTGTTTCCTTCACTGTGAAGAGGCTTTTAATTTTGATGTAGTCCCAATAGTTTATTTTTGTTTTTGTTTCCTTGCCTCAGGAGACATATCTAGAAAAATGTTGCCACAGCTGAGGTAGAGAAATTACTACCTGTGGTCTCTTCTAGGATTTTTATGGTTTCAGGTCTCACATTTAGGTCCTTAATCCATTTTGAGCTTATTTTTGTATATGGTGTAAGAAAGTGGTCCAGTTTCATTCTTTTGCATGTAGGTACAGCCACTTTGGAAAACAGTTTGGCAGTTCCCTCGAAAGGTTAAAACAGACTGGCCCTGTCTGATCAGTTGACGGCCTGGCTAGCATGAAAAAGCTGATCCTCCCCTGAGTAAGAGACAGTTTGTCCTCCCTGATTGCCTTTGAACTGGGACATCAGCTTTTTTCCTGCCTTCAGGCTTAAATGGAGACATTGGTTTTTACTGGGTCTCGAGCCTGCCAGCCTTTGAACTAAAACTACACCATTATCTCTCCTGGTTCTCAGGCCTTTGGACTTGGACGAGGATGTATACTGTCAGTTCTCTTGGGTCTCCAGCTTTCCCACTCACCCTGCAGATCTTGGGACCTGCCTGCCTCCATAGTCATGTGAGTCAATTCCTCATAATAAATCTCTTTCTATGTATAAATATATATACATCCTGTGGGTTATGTTTCTCTGGAGGAATCCTGTCTCATACAACTTTGCATCTTTAAAAAAGCAGCTCTTGACATGCTCCTAAGCCCTGGTAGAGATAAAATGTTTGGCTACCAAGTAATCATGGATCTGGAACTACATTAACTGGTTCTGCCAGACCTATCAAGTTCTAACGTCGGACAAGCTCAACAGCAACCCCTTATGAGGTGGAAATGGTACATCCAAGATCAAGTCCAAGCAAGACCTGATGACATGAGTAAGGCTGCACATAACCACCATTGCACCAGTGCCCCTCCCTCCACTCATATCTAGGGTCATGTAGGGGTCTCTTATGACCTACAGAAGTAGGAGGAAAAAAAGCCCAACCTGGGTTTTTGGATGAGTGGGCTCAGGATAAGGGTGCAACTTGAAAATGGATGGTGACTGTATCATAGCTATACTCAGGAGTGGCCTTGAAAAATGGTGACAATGGGAAATCTATGCAATAAACAAAGTCTGAGCTATGCTTTCCAGCTCCAAGAGCCTCTGCCAGCACCACTGTCTGGGGGCTTGTAGAATGCCTTATCCACAGGTATGTATTCCCACCAACATAGCATTTGAGCAGGGAACCCATTTCATAAGGAAGGAGATACAGGGGTAGCTCCTGGTCCTGGGATCCAATGGTGTTATCCCATACCACACCAACCTGAAGCAAGCTGTCCTCGTGGAGAGTGGGAATGAGTTACTGAAGGCACAGCTGAAACGCCAGCTTGGAGGCCATCCTCTGCAGGATGAGGTCATCTATAAGGACACATATATACTCAATCGATGTCTATATGGCGCTGTGTCCCCATGTAGTAGGAATACCTGGTTTTAGGAATCAAAGGGTGGTAGTAGAAGTGGTCCCACTTATTATCACTCTGGCCCTCTGCTACCTTTCTGATCTCCTTTCCTTTTTATCTTCCCTTTGCTCACTCTGTTGTAGCCACAGTAATCTCCTTGCTGCTTAGTAAACATACACTTTCCGGACTAGGGTTCTTTCATCCAGCTTCATTAGATAGAAGGGGCAAGAAGACCAGCAGAAGTAACTCAAGTGGGAGCTGGAGGGTGGGAGAGATTCTAGATAAATGCCCTTTTTTGTACAGAGTTGATTGGTGAATTGTATGTTTACCTCTAATTTCTAGCACAAGTACCCTGAACTAGGGATTTCTCATCAATATTTTCCACTTACTCTTTGATTGGTGACCTGTAAGAAATTATTCAACAGCTTGAGAGAGAACACTGATACTTCCTGGAGAACCTACAAAGTTTCCATCTTGGATAATGATTGCTAATAATAGCAAACTTTTTTGGGGGGGCATTAGGAAATTCCAAGCCCTGGGCTAAGACTTTTATGTACTTAAACTCATTTAATCTTTATAAAATCTCTAGGAAGGAGATATTGTTATCCTTATTTCATATATAAAGAAAGAGAGGCTCAGAAAGGTGAAGTGATTGGCCTCCGTCATACCTCTTGCAAGTGGACAGCGTTAAACACAGCTCTTTTTAAGTCTAAATCTATATTATTTTCTCAACAATTTGCTTCCCTTAAAGAGAAAGAGGTCATGATTACTCCCATTCGTCCATTTGTCCATTAATTCAATAAATGTTCACTGAGTGTTTTTTATGTGTTAGGCGTTGGCCTAATTTTGCTGATTCAGTGGTGAAAAATGGCAGGATCCTTGCCTTCACAGAGGTCATACCCTAATGGTTTAGCAGGATCATGAATCTAAGGTGTGTCAGTTCTCAGAAGGGCAGCTGACACAGCATGTGCCAAGGCTGAACTTTTGCAGAGAGACTGACAACAACTATCTTTGACCTAGACCTTGGAGTCTAAATTGTCCATAGTAAATATATAACCATAGTTAAAACAATGACTTTTTAGCTTCACCAACTGTGAAATGGGTACGATAATAGAAGGTAGCTTGCCAAGTGATTGCAATCTCAAACAAGAAAATGTGTGAAAACTTTGGAAAACTGTGAAATAGTCAACAAGGAGGAAAGGACTTTGCTATATTCTTTATTTAAAAATCCAAACATAGGGGCGCCTGGGTGGCTCAGTCGTTAAGTGTCTGCCTTCAGCTCAGGTCATGATCTCAGGGTCCTGGGATTGAGCCCCTCATTGGGCTCCCTGCTAGGCGGGAAGCCTGCTTCTCCCTCTCCCACTCCCCCTGCTTGTGTTCCTGCTCTTGCTGTCCCTCTATCAAATAAATAAATAAAAAATCTTAAAAAAAAAATCCAAACATAAACTAGAGAGAGTATTATAACAAACACCCAGATACCCATAAAAAAGTTTCAACCATTGTCAACTCAAGGCCAATCCTGTTTCATCTCCAGCCACCCTCTCCCTCCCATCACCCATTTTTTGGAAACAAAGCCTTGATATCTTTTTATCTGTATATATATATTCCAACACATATATTTCAAAGGAAGGGATTCTTTTATTTTTTTTTAAAGATTTTATTTATTTGAGAGAGAGAGAGCATGAGCAGGCAGAGGGGTTGAGGGAAAGAGAGAAGCAGACTCCCTGCTGAGCAGGGAGCCCCATGTGGAGCTTGATCCCAGGACCCTGAGAGGATGACTTGAGCTGAAAACAGCCACTTAACTGACAGAGCCACCCAGGCACCCCAGGAAGGGATTCTTTTAAAAAAACATAACCACAAATACTATTACCAATCCTAAAAACCTAAAAACAAAATTGATATTAATTGCTTAATTTTATCAAATATCATAATTTGATTAGGGGTCATTATTTCTCTGATTTTCTCAAAAATGTTGAGATCAGTAGGTTTGAATCAATATTTAATAAGGTGCACATATTACAGTTGGCTGAGATGTCATTTTAAAACAAGTCCCTTCTATCCTCTTTTTCTTTTGATTTTTTTTTCCTGAAGAAACTTGTTCCTGTAGAACAGTGGTTCTTGAACTTTAGTGTGTATTAGTGTGCATCAATAAGCATTAGTGTCATCTGGAAAACTTGTTAAAAACATAGATTGCGGGGCGCCTGGGTGGCTCAGTCGTTAAGCGTCTGCCTTCGGCTCAGGTCACGATCCCAGGGTCCTGGGATCGAGCCCCACATCGGGCTCCCTGCTCAGCGGGAGGCCTGCTTCTCCCTCTCCCACTCCCCCTGCTGTGTTCGCTCTCTCGCTGTGTCTCTCTCTGTCAAATAAATAAATAAAATCTTAAAAAAAAAACCAAAACAACATAGATTGCTGTATCCTGTCCTCACAGATTCTGATTGAGTACTGCATTTCTTTTTTTTTAAGATTATTTATTTATCTGAGAGAGAGAGAGGGAATGAGCAGGGGGAGGGGAGAGGGAGAAGCAGACTCCCCACTGAGCAGGGAGCCCAAGGTGGGGCTCCATCCCAAGAATCTGGGATCATGACCTGAGCCAAAGGCAGCTGCTTAACCAGCTGAGCCACCCAGGCGCCCCAAGTACTGCATTTCTAACATGTTCCAAGGTGATGCTGATGCTGGCTCGTCTGGGACTCTTTGAGAGCCACTGTTGTACCTATCCCAGTTGTACCTAGGATTTCCCTAATTGTATCCTTTGGTGAAGTCTTTCAACACGTTCATCTGCGCCTTATTTCTTGTTAAGGCAAACTTATTTAATTGCCTACAGTACAGCATAATGGCCAAACTCAGGTTTTCAGTTAGATTCCCTGGCTTTAAATCTCGTTTTTGACACTTATTTGCTAGGTAACCTTGGGCAAGTCATTTAATTGCTTGGTGAACCCAATATTACAGGGTTCTTGTGAGGTTTAATGAGATTTCAAAAAGTTAAGTGCTTAGTTAGCACACTGCCTAGCAGTTAGCAAATGTTTAACAAATTTGATTATCATTTTTCAAACAAGAAATAAAAATGGGACTCATAGTCGGCTGGAAATCCTTGAATTTTGTAGGGTTTTGTGTTTTAAAGTCAGCGGAGCCAAGGAGGGGTGCTCCAAAGGAGAGGTACCCAGAAAAAAATGAAGAGAGCTACTCTGAGGACACCTCAAAAATCAACCCAAGGTTGGCCCCTTTAAGGAGGGCGGGGCCACGTGACCTAGGGGGGGTCACATGGCTCGCGGAACAACATGGCTGCGCCCTCAGTAGGGCCGGTTGGTGGGTGCTGCGCCCGGCTCGGTCTCGTCCTTTTGCTGCCGCTGCTCTTGCTGCCCGGCGAAGCGGCTGGGGACGAAGAGGCCAGTACGGGCGTGGGCGGGGGCGCGGCTTCCCTCGCGGGCTCCTGCGGTTGTGGCACTCCCCAGCGGCGCGGGGACCATGGCAGCTCGGCGGCCGCGCACCGATACTCGCGGGAAGCGAACGCCCCCGGCCAGGTTCCGGGAGAGCGGCCGCTCGCGCCCACCAAGGTGCTCTCCCGATTCCGTGAAGGCGGGTGGGGTCCGCGGGGTTCTTGGACAGGGTTGGGATGGGCAAGGCAAGGGGTTTGCAGGAAGGCAAGTAAAGATTATAACCACACCCCAGATTGGGCACGTGCTGATCCGACTTGACGAAGAGTTCCTCTCCCCTCTTTGCCCCCCAAGTCGGCGGGATCTTGGGGCTCAACTTAATCCTGCGAATTAGGGAGTTTGGTTTGAGGACAGTTGATCCTCCTTTTCTTACCTCTTACTCCTATTTCCTCCTCACTCCACCCTGTCTTCCTCATGAGGTTCTCGGGCTTTTAATTTTAAGGCCGACAGATTCGTTAGTCTTGGGTTCCTGTTTTAACTGTGAAGAAATCAGGACAGTGGATCTCTGTGTCAAGATTGTTGTATTTTATCGATGGGCTCTTCTAGTAGACTCTGTTTCTGAGGGCAAGAACTTGTCCCATTTATCTTGCTCTCCTTAGTACTATAGCACACAGGAAGGACCAAGTCAACTGTAGTTGCTTTTTTAGTGCTATTTATCTGTGCCTCACATAGTGCATGGAAGTGCTGTTAGCATACATAAATAATAACATCAGTAATAACGATTACTTCATTCTTTCCAGGTACTTTGCATATTGGTATGGTTGTGGAAATAACTTAGGGGGACTAGAACTCAGATGTTTGACTCCTAAACTAGTGCTCCTTCTTGTGTACCGAGTACATTCTTTCCTTATTTTTTTAATCCCAGTTTTCTTTCCCATGGTTTAATTCTCAACAATATTCAGGACTTAGGTGAGAGGTAATGTCCTCCAGCAGGCCTTACCTGACTTCTTTCTTTTTCTTCCCCTGAAGGATTTCCATATGCTGCCACCAGAGTAGCTCTTTACTCTGACATTACAATTACCAAAGATACTTGTCTCAGGTGTCTTTCCCTAAGTAGGGAGTCAGGGTGGTAGGGGTTAAGACCATAACTTTTTGTCTCTGGTACAGTGTTAGGGAGCTGGTGGCTGGGCTTCTCCTTGATTCTCCATTTTGTGTAATTTTTGGCCTTTTAAATTTTCCTGTTCCTTAGAGGATGCGCTGCATTATTAGTGTTTATCTTTTGTGTGGTGGGAGCCCTGGTTATTGTTGTAGTGTGTATTGGCCATACATGATTTTAATTCCTTTCTACCTTTCCTGGTATTTGATAATCAGTTCCTCCTTCCTTCAAAAGAGAAAGCTCTATGTCTTTTTTATCTGCTTTGTAACTAACAGGGTAGCTGTCTTACTGCATTTACACATTGATCTGTATCAGATTTTTCCCTAGAACCTTCTGGCTAGTACAGAACATTCTGCATTTTAAATGCTGTAACTTCCTTTTGATTTCAGAATGAGATATGGGTGCCAGTACCTTTTTTCATTTTTATTTATTTATTTATTTATTTTGCCAGTATCTTTTAAATTACATTTATAGGACGCCTGGGTGGCTCAGTTGGTTAAGCGACTGCCTTCGGCTCAGGTCATGATCCCGGAGTCC